TTCAACGGAGATATTGTTAAACTGGTGAAATTAAAACCGATATAAAGTAATCATATTTACGCATAAAAAACAATAAAATCCCATCAGATATCAAACACGGTTTCATGGTCTCATATATGGAACAAACAACATTACACCACACGAAACAACATAGCCATATAGTCATCATAACTCATAAAAACTTTATCAAAGATGACGTTTCAATCTTAGTAGCTAGTCCAGCATGCATAAACTACATTAACTTTTAATACCTTATGGTAATATTTAATTGTTTTTCGTCCTTAAACGTTTTGAGATGATTCGCAACCTTACACATTTCGACGAATCTAGGATTTGTTAATGAGAAAAGTTTGACAAATCGAAGTTATAATCTCACTACGAGGCAATTCAGAAAAAGCAAGTGCACCAATAGCATTCAACAAATAGTCAAGCAGAAACATTACTTCAGTATGCTTGTTCAATGATTTTTTTAAAACCACAAAGATTATTCACGTACAAATGATTTCATTAAAAACGATATAAAGTAAAATCATATTTTTACGCATAATAATAAAGACATCGCATAAAAGTTATAAAAGACAGTATCATGGTCTGAACTCTGATGTATAGAACAACATTACACACCTCACGAAACAAGTTATAACCATAGTCATAATTAAAACTTTTATCAAAGGGAAAGTACACAAACAACTTGCGAGCAGCAGCAGACATAAAAAAGATCAGTCGTCCAAGTAGTAGTATGAGCCAGCAGACTTCTGCTCCCTGTCCTTGGTAGACTCTAACTTGTTGATCCTTGGCCTGAAGTTAGTCGGATCACGTCTGAATGTGATGTTAAGGTGCTGCAAAAAAAGTATATGAGGATTAGTTGTATTGATCTAGAGAAGATTAAATAAATTGATTCAGAGCTTACCGATAAGAAGAGGTTCATTCCGCTAAGGAGTGACTGAGGAGAATGAGCCATACACTTGATAGATGGTTGTCCTTCATACACTATAACTCGGTCCGCAAGATAGGTTGCCATTATAAAGTCATGCTCCACAATAAAGGCTGTTTTCTTTGCGTGTAGTATGAAGCGCTTTATGACCTTTGAGGCTGTGATTCTCTGCTCAGAGTCGAGATACGCACTTGGCTCATCAATCAGATAGATATCAGCAGGCTTGCCAAGGCATAAAGTTATGCCAACCCTCTGAGACTCTCCACCAGAGAGCGTGCAAATTGCTTGATCCAACAGCTGCTCAATCTGAAGCGGTTTCATTACATCCGATACAAACTGAGGATGCATATAAGCATCACGGATCCTCTCGTGTAGCAACTGTCTCACTGAACACTCACGCTGCGCATCATAAGTTTGTGGTTTGTATGACACGTTAAACACTGGCATATCTTCTTCTACATCCCCGTCAGGTTTCAATGCACCTGCCTGCGTTACATAAATGATTTTCTTTAAAAAATTCATTCAGTTCAAAGACTTTAAACAAAAAAAATAATGGAGCAAAAGGGAGTGTACCAGCATCCGGATGAAGGTAGTTTTCCCAGTACCGTTTTCCCCAAGCATTACAACAATCTGAGAGTCGGTGAAGTCTCCTTCCAGCACCTCCAGCTTGAAACTTCCAAGAGTCTTAGTCATGTTTGGGTATTTGTATCTTGCATAGGACTTCACTTCCCCATCATTCTCTTGTGGAGTTTCAGAAACCTTGTAAAAGAAAAGAAAAGACAGATATACATTTTGTCAGAGCCGGATCTTGGCACAGTTCAATAAAACAATAATCTTGGTCCCAAAAAATTTGACCAAACATGGACCCCTAAATTATGAAGACAAAAAATTTACTAAAAGATTTTTAAAAAATGTTTTAAGCCCCCAAAATATTATATCCGGTCTAACTTTTTGTATTATTATTAGTCACACAAAAAATAATATGTCTACTAGAAAAGGTTTACCTTGAAGGTGAGAGATATATCCCTGAAACGTAAGTTTTCAGTGGGAATAAAACCAGCCAAGAACACGTTGATACCTTCTCTAACCGAAAAGGGGAGAGTCACGACACCAAATGCTGTCGGTTTCCCATACAGACAGCAAACGAAGTCTGACAAATAGTCTAGGACGCTGAGGTCATGCTCCACAACAATCACGTAGCTGAGTGAAAAGCAATAAAGCACATTATTATTTTTATTATTCAGGAAGGAACAAAAGAGAAAGATGATCACAAAATTAAAAAACCTGTCAGGCCTGAGGAGGGAGCGTATGACTTGAGCAGCTTTGAGTCTTTGCCTCACATCGAGGAAGCTAGATGGTTCATCAAACATGTATATCTCAGCCTTCTTGATGAAAACAGCGGCAATGGCAAACCTCTGCAGCTCTCCACCAGATACATCTTTTGCCCTACGGTCCAGGACCGGGTTCAACTCAAGATCAGCAACAATCTGCTCCATCATTCCTCTCTCGTCCAGCTTCTCAAGCATCTGTCCAAGATCACCTTGAACAATTTTCTTTATCTGGTCCACATGTTGGGGCTTTATAGCCGTCTGCCATACATAGAGTAAACGATAGTCATCAGTGAGCTCACCTTCTTTACTTGGGAAATAAATATATAAAAACATTTTCCTTGACCACAAAATTTTTAAAATTATATACACATGTATACACCCTCGAAACTATTTTTTAAAAATTAATAAAATTCTTAAAAAATATTTATAACCCCCGAAATCTCATATCCAGCCATACTAGTACCTTTAAGTGTTCTTCTACAACTCTGGTGAAATAGCTTTGAAGTTCTGACCCGCGGAAGTGAGCCAAAATTTCTTGCCAGTCAGGAGGGTTCTGCCACAAACGAGGTGTTAGAAACAGAATAGTAAAAAAATATATTACACTTATTTAAATTGAGTATGGAAGAAAAGAGGTTGGTTGGTACTTACATCGAACCTGCCAAGATTTGGTTTGAGTTTTCCAGCCAAGATTTTGAGAGCAGTTGATTTCCCAATACCGTTTGTACCGACCAAACCTAGGACTTGGCCAGGCCTTGGAACTGGGAGCCTGTGCAATTTGAAAGCATTGGACCTATAGCGGTGGGTTGTATCTTTCTCTAAGTCCTTTGGAAGATTGATAATTTGAATAGCCTCAAACGGGCATTTCTGCGAAAAAAAGAACAAAAAAAAAAAGAAAATCTCACTCAGTGTCTGCATTTTTAAAAAAAAATAAAGCCTGAGAGTGTACCTTCACGCAGATACCACATCCTATACAGAGCTCCTCTGATAAGAAAGCAGTCTTGGAAGTAGGGGTGACTTCGATACAAAGTCTCCCTGTAGATATATATAACATATGGTTTTATTATGTATACATATATAAATGAGCTAGCCACGGACGAGAATTAGTGAAATTGAGACAAGATTAATTATATATACCTGTCTTGACAACAGGACAACTCTTCTTGCATTCCTGGCGACACTTCTTTGGTTTGCACCGGTCTTCGCTCACGATAGCAATCCGCGTCCATCTCTCTGCCATCCCTGAAGAAGTCTTACACTACAAAGTTACAAAAATCTACAGTTAAAAAAAAAACCACACAACCAGCGCACAGAACCACCAAGAAAACCCGACAATTAAGAGACAAATCTCTCAGATCAACACCAACCAGTTAAAGTAGAGATCTACCCAAGGAATCAAGTTAACAACAATAAAAAAAGACCACCAGCCGGTAATTCTTAGATCAAACAAGCATAAGAAGGTAGAAGCTGGAGAAGATCTAGTACCAGTTTACAGCAGATCAGCCGGTGAGGAAAAGATCTATGAGCCCCCACAAATCGACTAGGGTGGCGAAGAGGACTAGGGTTTCTTTTATACTTCAGTTTATTTTATTTCGTGTTTTCTTATTGTCTGAAAATTTTGTGGGCCCCTTAACAAGAAAGAAAGAAAAAAAAAGAGACAATAATAATAAAATGTGGCACTCCTAAATTTTAGAAATAATCTTCTTTTTAGATTCGATAGTCATGTCTAGTTCTCAGCCAATCATTATCCCCCCCCCCCCCTTGCGATTCGTGCTACACACTGTTCTAAACATCTTCCTAGCTAGTTCTGTACTTGTAATAAACATTGATTCCCAATACCGTTTAATTATATAATTTAATCTCATTTTTTATATATCATAAACCTTATAGCGAATTTAATTAAACTTGTTAGGTATAATTATTATATGTTTTTTATTAGTCTTTAAATATAGTAATCCATTTGCTTATACAGCGCCGGCTTAGTGGGCCTCGTTTAGTCTTATTGGGCTTTAATGATTACCATCAGCCCATACATTTCTTTCTTGACAGACAGTTACTTTCTAATAACATTTTCTCTTCGAGGGAAAGAAAAGGTACAAAAGTCCCAAGTCCACACCAAGTTTTGGTGCGATAGGGAAGGACAGTAACGTACAAATGGGTAAGGTTTAATTATATACATATATTTTGTATGATGATGCGGGTTTAGGAAGATGTATATGTACGTAGGTTAGTTATTACTAGATTTCATATAAGTACAACTCCATTTTCTACATGTTTGTCAAACCATATCACTCTAGACACATAAAGTCGACTGAATATTAGTAATTTAGTATATGTATAAGATGTACGAGACAATTTTGTACATACCTGCATATAACAAGGTGTGTGTATAGATAGACTAGTATGAGAATGGATTATATGCATTGTGTGTAGATTTATGTATAGACAAAAGTCCATACAATGGGTTGATTAGTAAAAAGACTTGAAGGTACCAACAAGAAGTCAATAAATCGTGTCACCAAACAAAAGAAATCTACCAGTTGTGACTTGTGACCTACCGCTTTGTTAGTAAGTAAGTAAACTCAACTCGCTTAAATACTCGTTTGTTGCATTCATATATAAATTCGTTATATATATAGACCATAACTTCATCTATATATACACGCCCATTATAACACTAGCTAAGAACAAAAAATTAAACAGAGATTTCTACCCCCAAAAAAAGACATTATCACAAAATGTCAAAGCTCATTCTTATCCTCGCCGCAAAAATCCTACTCCTCACCATCTTTGCCTCCGCCGGAGACGGTGGAGACTTCGCAAGCACAACGAACCCGAAACAGTTCAACCAGGGGAAACTCACTCATCTCCGAGTCTTTTGGCATGACATCCGAAGCGGTCGAAACCCTAGTTCCATTATGATCCAGCCGCCGGTTAGGAAGTACTCCTCAACATACTTCGGATCAATCACAATGATGGACAACGCACTAACATCTGATGTGCAGATTAACTCTACTGTGGTGGGTCAGGCCCAGGGTTTCTACGCAGGATCGGCCCAACGTGAGCTAGGTTTCTTGATGGCGATGACTTTCGCTTTCAAGACTGGGGAGTTTAATGGAAGTACGATCACGATTCTTGGTCGGAACACAGTGTTGTCTGAAGTTAGGGAAATGCCGGTGGTCGGAGGAAGTGGAATCTTTCGGTTCGCTAGAGGTTATGTTGAGCTTAGGACTAAGTCGTTCGATCATAAATCAGGAGATGCTATCGTTGAGTATAACTGTTATGTCTTGCATTACTAAGATAATTAACCATGATAAGATTGTGTCCTCTATGTCCTTTTTTTAAATTTAAAATTATAATAAGAGTGATCTTTTATGTTATACTCATCTGCTTCTATTTTAAGGGCTATGTTTACTAATCCGTTGATCGTTTATAGCATTGTTTTTGTCCTTTGATAAACATACTGTAATGGTTTGGACCGAAATCATACTGTAATGGTTTGGACCGAAATTTGATTAACAAGTAAATAGTTTGTTACTAAATGAAAAAGAGTTCTCATGAAAAAATCATCTACCTAAAAGTTACGGATAAGCATTATATAACGTTTTTAAAGTAGACGACATTTATGTATATTTTAAAACAATCTGAACATTTTGTTGTTAAATAAATAAATAAATATATATATATATATATATATATATATATGAATGTGTAATATTTTTTCTTATTTATGATTTTCCTACTATTAATAATTTTATTATTTTATTTTTAATTTTAAAACAAAAATAATTAAATATAATAAAAAGTCAAACAGTAAAAGAACCAAAAGAAATCACCATTAAGGTTTGCTTAAAACTAAAATCTAGAAGAAAAAAAACTAAATACGAAAACTAAAATAAATACTAAGTAAACGATCATGACCTAGGTATGTGCTAGAGGAACTTGAGCATTTGGGTAAATTTGCATGTTATGTAGACCTAGGCATGACCTACTATGAGAATTGGATCATATATGCAAGTTTATATAAGTGACAAAAAAATGCAAGTTTATGTAGATTTATGCATAACCGTTTACACAATAGGTTTGATTGATATAGAAGACTTGAAAGTAAATATCAACAATAAGTCCGATACATCGTGTCACCTCAATTGTGTCCTGCGCATTGTTTGAGATCCTGGTTCCGTGTTGATTTATAAAGTATAAACATTAAACAAAAAAAAAGGTAGGTCAAATCAATTCGTTTAAATACTTTAACTACAAATAATTTTATAATGTTTTACAATATTTAATAACGTATTCAAAGACGCAAAGAACAAAATAAGAAAAGATAACTCTTCTAAAACCAACAAAATGTAGAGTGGAGAATAAAAACAACAACAAAAATGGCCTACGGCGAAAAAATCATGAGAAAATATTTCAATTTGCTTTTGATTTATTCGTTTGTATTTTTTTTTGTAAGCTTCGAATATTATACAATATTTTGAAATTATTTTATCGTAAATCATACGACTCACTGGCCTTAATTAATGCTATAGCTAGGCCAACTAAAATAATACTACTTCTGTCCACTATTTAATAGCGTATTCAAAGACGCAAAGAACAAAACAAGAAAGCAACAACAAAAATGGCAGACGGCTAACGAATTCAAAGACGCAATGAACAAAATAAGAAAGCAACAACAGAAATGGCATACGGCCAAAAAATTCACGAGAAAACATCTCAATTGTTTTTGATTTATTCATTTGTATTTTCTATTGTAAGCTTCGAATATTAGACAATATTTTTGAAATTATATTATCGTAAATCATACGACTCACTGGTCTTAGTTAATGCTATAGCGCGTACTACTTCTGTCCACTATTTTCCTAACAATTATCAAAAATGTCGTAAATTAATGCGAACAACTCATAAAACCTTTAATACAGAGGATTAAAATTCCAGTTAATCCCACAAAAAAATGAAATAAACCGATGCCCAAAAAAATGAAATAAACCTAACAATTTTCAATCTAGAAGATTTATCAGCAAATGCCTTCTTTTCTAATATATAGAGTAAAACTTCTATTTATAAAATCACTATCTTTTTCTATCTTTTTCCATACTCGTTTTTTGCATATATATATTATCGCATTTTATATACCTATATATATATATATATATGTTAATATGGTCTATAATGATGCGTGTGTAGGAAGATGCATATGTAGGCAGGTTAGTTACTAGATTGTTATATAAGTACAACTCTCATATGGACATGATTGTCAAGCCAATATCACTCTAGAAACATAAATGACTCAATCTTAGTATATGATGTATGCGGAATTTAATGCATAGATGCATATAACAAGGTGTGTATTGTGGCTCAAAAAAAAAAGACAATGGATCATATGTAGTGGACTATGGGTGGCACTGCATCCACCAAATTTTCATTTTTGATTACTTTTATAAAGTGAAATGAGAAAAATTATTAGGTAAAATGAAAATTCATTATTATTGCATCCCTTCATTTGTTTTATAAATTTTGTGTACCCAATGAAATCTAAGTTGGATTCGCCCATGATCATATATGCATGTTTATGTAGATTTATGCATAAACGTCTATACAATGGGCAGGTTGATTAATATTACAACACTTGAAAGTATCAGCAATAAATCTACCAGTTTTGTCCTGCCGCGTTGTTGGTAAGTAGATCAACTCAACTCATTCAAAATACTTTAATTTACCAACAATTTCTACATAAATGGCTAGATTTAGCTCATAACTCCATCTATATATACATCCTTTATTAACAAGACTAAGAATGCTTTTAAAAACAAGACCTAAGAACAAAACATAAACATGTCAAAGCTCATTCTAATCCTCACCGTACAAATTCTCCTCCTCACCACATTTGCCTCCGCCGGAGACCGTGGGGACTTCGCAAGAACAATGAATCCAAAACGCCTCCACATGAAAGAAAAACTCACTCATCTCCGAGTGTACTGGCACGACATCATAAGCGGTAGAAACCCTAGTGCCATCGTGATCAAAAAACATGTTGCGAAGCACTCCTTCGGATCAATCACAATGATAGACAACGCACTAACATCTGATGTGCCGATTAACTCTACTTTGGTGGGTCAGGCCCAAGGTTTCTACGCAGGAGCGTCCCAACATGAGACAAGTTTCTTGATGGCGATGAATTTCGCTTTCAAGACAGGGAAGTATAATGGAAGCACGATCACGATTCTTGGTCGGAACGCTATTTTTTCTGAGGTTAGGGAAATGCCGGTGGTCGGAGGAAGTAGAATCTTCCGGTTCGCTAGAGGTTATGTCGAGGCTAGGACTAAGTGGTTCAATCAAAAATCAGGAGATGCCACCGTTGAGTATAACTGTTTTGTCTTGCATTACTAAGATAATTAATTATAATAATTAATAAGATTGTGTCCGCTATGTACTTCTTATTTTAATTTAAAAATATAATAAGAGTGATCTATTATGTTTACTAATCTGTTGACTAATGTTGTTGTGCTAAAAGATGATCGTTTCTAGCATTGCTTTTGTCCTTTGATAAACATATATTGTAATGGTTTATACCGAAATTTGATCTACAAGTAAAGTTTGTCTCTAACTGAAAACATCATCTGCGTAAAATTTAGGGATAAACATTATCAGCGTTTTAAAAGTGGACATTAATTGTATAATTAAAAATTATCTGAACTTTTTTCTTGACCGAAAAAATTATCTGATTTTTAGTTGGTAATTTTATCGCATATCATGCAAAAGAGCAGATACTGCACATGCATGTGCTCATCATATAAATAAAGTAAGAAAAATACAAAGAACTTCTGATATATCTTTTATCTCGTAGTCATAAAAAGGTAAAGACTCTGCTCAAAGGTAACACCACCCATAACAAAGTGAAAAGTGAAGAGAGAAAAAACCTTTTTACCGATGAGAATTCTTTTTCTGAAACTCAAAGTATTTAATATGAAGATCAAAGAACAAATTACGATTAGAGAAACTAAATTTCCTCGTATTTGTTTACTTTTTTATTTTATTATAACTTATGAGGTTATGTTTCGTTTCCGAATGCGTTCGACCAGAGGTTATTTGTGTATTCCTGCTGATTTTGTTCTGGCATCTAAAACCATAACTTTCGTTTTGGTTAATAGACCTGCTTAGAGCCATTTTAATTTTTAAATGTTTTTACTAAGTAAAACATTGCTTATAATTATAAGCTTTTTTTTAACACGACCTTCATTCATGGTTGGTCAGGTACTAGCCATGAAAGTCTCAGTCTCATTTAAGCATTGTTTCGCCAACTCGTCTGCAGCCGCATTAACATCACGGATTCACAGGTTCTCCAATTAAAAGATGTAAAAGTAAAAAAGTTAAGCAAGGAGTATGATATATGAGACCACTCCACAAATATTTACCGCTACCTTCCCTTCATTAATGGTATTAATCAACTGTGTTGATTCTGATCTAAAGCAAACTTACCATAATAAGTTCGTGACCATAATTTACCTACAAAAAAAAAGTAAAAAGGTAACTAAAAATCTCAAACCACGTCTTTTCTTTGTTTGCATTCACTTTTTCATTTCCACTATCAAATTTATTAAAGCAAAAAGTTTCAGCTTTTGTTTCCGAACACAATATATATATTATAGAGAAAATGCCATAAAAATACATAATCTCAATTCAAACATAACTGTTAATATTATTAATAAACATGTTTTAAGATAGAGAAATACTCTATTTCCAAATCATATAAATGGCCTATTTCTTACAATAGTTTTGTATATATCAAGACAACCTGAAAAAACCTCAAACCAGAGTAAATTATGATCTTCCACACGTAACATAATAGAAAACCATATTGTAATAATGGATTAATCAAATATTCTCTAAAAGAGCCTTTAATAATTAATATCCACTGTCTACTAAACGATAATTAATATTTACGCCTTCCTCTTCTATAAATACACATACACTCACACACTCGTTATATACAACACAAACGTTCAGCTACATACACATAGAACCACAAACATGAGTAAGCTCATCCTTATCCTTGTCGCAGAAATTTTCCTCCTCACTGCCATTGCTTCGGGTGGAGACTTCGCAAGAACCATGAACAAAAGATTCATCGACCTCCCAAAACATGAGACACTCACCCATCTCCGGCTCTATTGGCACGACTCTACAGGCGGTCAAAAACCTAGCTCCGTCAGGATCCAACAACCTGTCTCGAACTCGTCCTTGTTCGGATCCGTCTCCATGATGGACGATGCGTTGACAACGCATGTGCTGAGGAACTCGACTGTGGTTGGTCAGGCCCAAGGGATTTATGCTGGAGCGGCCCAAGGAGAGATAGGTTTCTTGATGGTGATGAACTTTGCTTTCACGACCGGGAAGTATAACGGGAGTACGATCACGATTCTTGGTAGGAACGCTGCTATGGAAAAGGTTAGGGAAATGCCTGTGGTCGGAGGAAGCGGTATGTTCCGGTTTGCTAGGGGTTATGTCGAGGCTCGGACCAAGCTTTTTGATCTCGAGTCCGGTGTAGCCATTGTTGAGTATAACTGTTATGTCTTGCATTACTGATAACTATGTTGTGCGTTTGTAATGTTTTTAAGTAACATTTGCATCTGATGAATGTTATTGTTTGCTTTCCTTTTTGTTGTTGTATGTCATGTTGTGTACCGTGGTCTGATCGTTGTGGGAGTGTTCTTGTTTTCTGTGAATAAATAAACTGAAGTTGTAAAATATATTGAACAAGCCATTTTGGGTCATGCTTAAGTAGGGAGCTTACATTTCAAAAAAAAAATTCTCTAATATTTGATCCCTATTAAATAATTTTGGAATGATAGTCAGCACAATCATGATCTAATCAAAACCTTATAGTATAAAGACTTTTGTAGTGTATGTCAAAGTGGCAAACATGCAATATTAGTATTCAAAGAACATGCAATACTTTTGTCGTGTACGTTGGTCTAAGAGTTAAAGAAATACAGACCAACAAAAGCCTGATTCAAAGCAAACAATTATAATAATAAGTTAGTGACCAAATCGGAGCTTCTACTTATTGTGGTAAAGGACTCACTGTGAGTACCGTCACTGGATTCGAATCCGGCCACCTGAATTCAAGTTTGGCCACCAGAACACTTCAAATGATAAAAAAACATGAATTATATAGACCTTGTGGTGATTAATCCTTGAATTTAGAAAATCTCTAGGATCACAACACGGTTATAAACAAAAAAAAAAGTTAGTGACCATAATTTACGTAACCACAATTTACGTACAAAAATGTAAAAAGGTGATTTAATATAGTTTTTAGAGCATGATTAACTTGAATTCTTAATTTGAGGATCTTAATTCATGATTTAATGTTTTTTTTTGTTTTTTTTTTTGTTTTTACTCTTTTCCGCTAAGAATCAATTTTTATATCTTTTATTTAAGAGACGATTTTTAATTTTTTTAATTAAAAGCTAAGAAACGGTTCTTAGCCGTAACTAAAAACATCACCCTATATGAATCCGGATTAATCATTGTCTTACGAAACTGAGGGATCTACAGGTTTAAATTGTTTTTTTTAAGGCAATAAAAAGGATCCAGATAATGTAACCATCGGGCAACAGTACATTCGAGTCAGACTAATCCTAAAAGTGAACTTGCTCGCGAAGACAGCTAAACCGCCAAACAATGAAACAAACAACTGGACTATTGCTTAATTCTTTGTTTAAGAACATATCAAGGTTGTTTCCGATGGAAATCAAACTTAGGATGCAGTTTTTATGCCTTGTTCTAATTACACCAACTAAAACTAGACCACTGACACACGGTTTGATTCAGATTTAGATGCTATATATCGATGTTTTCTCCGCTAGCCATCAATGTCAATAGAGATTACTGTTTTGTAACAGCGCATTTTCTTAAAATGGAACACACATGGTGATCTATCTGATCTGTTAGTCAAATGTGCATACACAATTCATTGTTATGGTAGATTTGTAATTTATATATTAGTATATTTATATAGTTATCTATGCACGTATGTACGATAATTATAGTTTACACTAGATTAATCATTTCCAACATTATTGAACTAGGGAGCACGTTTTCCTCCCTTTGTCTTGCACTTCAGAAAAAAGCAAAAAGTGTAGACCACTTTTATTCAGCTTTTTGTTGCCGTACACAATACATTTTAGACAGAAATTCCCATAAAAATATACATAATCCTAAACTCCCAATACATAATTGTTGATATTATTAAATAAACATGTTCTAAGAGAGATAAATACTCTATTTTCCAAGTCATATACTCATATATTAAGATAACCTTGAAAAAATCTCAAACCAGAGTAAATTATGATCTTCCACACGTAACATAATAACCATAATGTAATAATGATTAATCAACTACAAATACTCTAAGAGCCATTATTTACAGAACGATAATTACTATATACGCCTTCCTCTTCTTCTATAAATACACACACAATCACACACTCGTTATCTACAGCACAAACGTTCAGCTACATGCACAAAGAACCACAAACATGACTAAGCTCATCCTTATCCTTGTCACAGAAATTTTCCTATTCACTGCCATTGCTTCGGGTGGAGACTTCGCAAGAACCATGAACAAACAACTCATCGGCCTCCCAAAGCAGGAGACACTCACCCATCTCCGTTTCTATTGGCACGACCCCACAGCCGGTCAAAAACCTAGTTCCGTCATGATCCAACAACCGGTCTCGAACTCCTCCTTATTCGGATCCATCACCATGATGGACGATGCGTTGACAACGGATGTGCTGAAGAACTCGACTGTGGTTGGCCAGGCCCAAGGGATTTATGCTGGAGCGGCCCAAGGAGAGATAGGTTTCTTGATGGTGATGAACTTTGCTTTCAAGACGGGGAAGTATAATGGGAGTACGATCACGATTCTTGGTAGGAACGCTGTGCTCGAAAAGGTTAGGGAAATGCCGGTGGTCGGAGGAAGCGGTCTGTTCCGGTTTGCTAGAGGTTATGTCGAGGCTCAGACCAAGTTTTTGGATTTCAAGTCCGGCGTAGCCATTGTTGAGTATAACTGTTATGTCTTGCATTACTGATGATAACTATGTTTGTGTTCGTTTGTAATGTTGTTAAGTAACATTAGCATTTGACGAATGTTATGTCTTTTTTCTTTTTGTTGTCGTACGTATGTCATGTTGTGTACCGTGGTGTGATCGTTGTGAGAGTGTTTGTTTTTTGTCATGCTTATATAACTGTAATGGTCTTGATCTATGAAAAAATAAACTGAAGTTGTTGAATATAGGAACAAGCAATTTTCGGTCATGCTTAAGTAGGTGTGGTCTACATTTAAGAAAAGTTCGCTAATATATATTTTAAGTGGTTTACATTCAAGAAAAGTTCTCTAATATATATTTCCTTCTAAATAGTTTTGGAATGATCATCAGCACAATCATGATTCATGATCTAATCAAACCTTATAGTATAAATGCTTTGTTGTGAGAAAATGGCAATATATTGGTCTCAGACAACATATTCAAAGAAGGATGCATTTAGATCCGAAGAAATTGTCTAGACAATATATTGGTCTCAGACTTGAAGGAAAAAAAAAGGATTTACTGTGTCTTATATATAGTAGGAGAACCAATTGGATTTGGTTAAAAAACAAAGTTGGCTCTTATATTTACTGTGTTCTGTGAGGTTGGTATTGGAGTTAGTGTTATGATGAAGTATTTACTCTAATTTATTTGGCATTTGTGTTATATTACCCTTAAATCATACGACAACACAATACTGGTGTAGAAACTTTTTAAATTTGGTTATATATAACAAATATTGATTTGCAACCTTTTTCTTTTGTTTATCAAAAAAAAAAAAGAGCCTTTTTCTTTTGGCAGATATTAAGATTTACAAGTTCGCCACCAGTAAAAAGACAACTCTGATTTGAATCAACAAAGCTGGGTGTACGAGCGATTGAACATCAATTGGTAGAAACAATCCAACAAATCTCAAATACTGTGACTCTATCGTTTATCACAAGTGTCCAATAGTCCAAGGGACATATATTAAGCTCAAGATAGAGATAGCGTTAAGTGTGTTACAATTACTGTTTATATTCAAGTGCTGATTATCAAACTACGTAACTAACAACGTCATAACTAACCACCACCACATCTAGCAACAACAACTAATATTACATTCAATATTTTTTTATTTATAGGAAAATAAACCTTATATATATCACACTCAACATCACACGCCTTCTTCGACACACATACACACACAATTATTAACACAAAACAAAAAACGAAAACCAAAAATACAAAAATAACATTTTACATACAAATCAATAACCAACAAAAATGACAAAGTTCATCGGATGTGATTGAATAAGGCGTATTTCCGTAACCACATCAATAACTTTTTGGATATAAGTTAGATTATTTCCGTAATTCGTTTTTTGAGTTTGAGTTATATATATTTGCTAATTCAAATGAAAATATAATTATTTTTTTCTAGTTAAATCAAATCAAATTAGTTTAAGTATTTTTATAATATTTTTAATAATTGGATATATGTTGATTTTTAAGAAATATTAAAAAAATAAAGTGACATCAATATGAATATACATACATAAATATGAGTATAAAGACAAATTTTTGAAATTTCATGAGCACATATTAATATTTGCAATAATTAAATATTTATAAATTCTAAATTATTTGATGCCTTAGATCTCTTAAAAGGTAGACTGAAACATATTTTAAACAATCTTAAAAATGAGAACTTAGATTTACTTAAGTATTTTGATTATTTATATATTAAGTTCCACAAACATAAAAAACATAAAATTAAAAAGAAAACTAAATATTAAAAGAATTTTTAATAATGATAAAATATTATATTTCCATTTCATTAATGAGGTATAGTGCTACGCTATTTAAAAAGGATTTTGAAATATTTGATCAAAATATTTATTTTTGTTAAAAAAATATTTTTACTTTCCTTTTTAATATCTTTTAAACAAACACTAAGCATGTTGTTTTAGGAAAATTTCTAAAAATTATTAAATTTTGTTTATGTATAAAGATTTATATTTCATAAATATTTCCTTTTTTATTTATGTGTTTTAAGAAAGTAAACTTATATTAAAAAAAATAAGTAAAATCTTATCAAGAAAAAAGGAAGTACATTATTAATATCAATTAAATAAACACTAAACATGTTATTTTAGGAAAATTTCGAAAAAATATTAAATTTCATTTATATATAAAGATTTATATTTCATACATATTTCCTTTTTAATTTACGTGTTTTAAAAAAGTAAACTTATATTAAAAATTAATTAAAATCTTATTATGAAAAAGTAAATACATTATTAATATCAATTAAATAAACACTAAACATGTTATTTTAGGAAAATTTCAACAATTTATTAAATTTTGTTTATATATAAAGATTTATATTTCATATTTTTTTAATTTATGTGCTTAAAAAATTAAAATTATATTAAAAAATTAAGTAAAATCTTATTATGAGAAAAGGAAATACATTATTAATATCAATTTTATTTAATATTTTTAGTCCATTAAGGGTATCTATGTAATCAATCATCGTGAAAGTTAACGATCGCAACACGTATGAAACTAACTTCTCAAATAATATTATAGAGATTTTTCTTTTCACAGTTAGATAGTGCAAATTTCCATAATTTTTTTTTGATTGATTTTTTTTTTGCAAATAGTAGAATAATTCCTATATTATTTTGTATAAATATAAATATTACATTTATATAGTTATGAAATATTTCTCAGATATGTATGATTTCTGATAATAATTATGAACTATTTCTGTTTTATGGTTTAAGCTAGGAAGTAAATTTCTTTTTTTATTAATATTAATTTTAGGTAACAATCAATTTACATTCATATAAATAGACATATATATATAGTTTATTCATTAACCACAGCCACAAACCAATATCCGTTATTCAAATCTCAACTCTAAAGTTTTCAAAAAAATGGTTAGTTACTTTTTGAGGAATCACATGCATATAGTTTTACACTTTCAAAATCCTTTATTGATTATATAAATAGTTTTTCACAAGTTTATGTTATTCATTATTTGCAGGAAGAAATAATAATCCGACATCGAGCCACCAGTAGAAAAGTCATAAAGAGAGTTTTAGATTATATCAATAATTGTCAAGGTAAAGATACACTAACATTACCTATTAGTTATGTTCGAGCCAAATAATGCATCCTAAATGAATTTTTTCTTCTTTTTTAGGAGTTAGTGATGTCGTATCATTACAAAACGGCATACTTATCGTACGTGGAGAAGGAATGGATAAAGCTAAAATGAGAAGGAAGGTGGATAAGATTTTTTCATCCAAGAATGGGTGGTTATCATGTTTTAGTCTAAGTGGATGATATGGTCTTCATATTTCTAAATGTATTTGAGTTTTAACTAATAAGTTTATGCTTCTTTTTTTTTATTTTGATGTTATAGTTTACTCGTGTGATGATTTTTTAAACATTTGAATTTCAGTTAATACTATTATGCTTCTTATTGATATGTCTTCATGTTCTATGTAAGTCTTTCGACTTTATTTGAAAAACGGAAATCAACTGATTTACTACTCTATAGATGTATCTCATTTTAATTTATAGGTAATTGGGATCTATTTTACTAAAATAGAAACATTAGGTTAAACATTAGATTGGACCTAATATTTATTTTGTAAACTTTTAAATTAAATACATCATCTATTCTATTAAAATAGAGTCATTTTTTTTATCTACTGATACAAGTTGTCATTTAAATTTGGACCTTTTCTAGAGTGTTACAAATAATACAAGTTATATAGTTGACTGAACCGCATTACGTAAATTAAACCGGTGGTTATTTATGAAATAGAGTTTTGGGCTTACTTTTGTTTTTATAACATTTAATTGTTTGGTTTCTGGGCTTAGTATTAAAGAAAAACTCCAAAAAACATTAAATAAACTTTCCACCTTAATAGATCAAAAATCAATTACTATTTTCAGACCCAAAAATATTTAATATTTTCAACAAAACAAAATTATCTATTATTAATCACTTATTTAAATCATGTACTTTAAAACATGTTAATATTTTTTAGCCCAAAATATTTAATATTTTCAACAAAACAAAATTATCTATTATTAATCACTTATTTAAATCATGTACTTTAAAACATCTTAATATTTTTTATTTTAAATAACAATCATTCTATCTTGATAAATTTTAATGGTAACTTTTAAATAATTTATTGTTTTATTTTTCTTAAATAAATTACAGATTTAAAAAAAAAATGTAAAGCAAAACCAAAAATCAATCTAAAAACTAAAATCCAAAACCAAAAGCTGAAAACGCAGGTTATATTTTTAGAAAATTATTTTGTCATCTTCTTAGTTTTAAGTTACATGTTCGATTAATTGAGATTTGTTTGTCGGTAATATCAGTTCAAACTAACTCAGCGGGTCTAAAAATTAAAAAAAAAAATCAAACCAAAAACTGAAAATCAAAAATAGAAACTTAAAAACTAAAAACCAAAAACCAAAATTTAAAACAAAATCTAAAAATAAAAACTGAAACTAAAAACTAATGAAAAACAACTATCACCACAAATTTTGGTAAACTAATTTTATACCAAAACATTCTTTAAATTAAGACAAAACTCAATTATATAAATTTTTAATCATAAAAAAATTTCCGCGATTTTCAAGCGCAGGTCAAAATCTAGTTTTACTTTATAGTTAAACATACATTAACTACATTAGGTTGGCAGTCATGGAGTCCTTATACTACATTCCAAGGAAGACGAGGACACTATTATATTATGGTTTTAGATACAAGACCGTGAGCTGCTTCTCGCTAACAAAAGATAGAACAGAAAGATTACATCCTTGTCGCCTGTGTGAAACAGCCGTGGCAGACGCGGTCAAAAGGTCTCAGTTGTAAAATCAAAACTGAATATACAAAATATTTCAACGTTGATAATTCGAGAACCTTCCAAGAATTAGAGTTATAGTCGTAGAGTTCAAAACCCTATAATGTATGTGTATCTGCTTGTGCCTTGATAATATTACCAAAGCAAAACCTCTAGTCTTTGTTGTTACGGTTCCATACCAAGAGCTTAGGATGGTCGTCTTTGATGATGCATAGTAATAAGATTAGATACGTAAGTTTCCTTCGAATTTCATAAAACAAACCTTGTGATACATAACCGTGAATCCCCTAAACTGCTTCCTTGGTGCAGAAGCTTCCCCTAAACTAGGTTTTTGTTGTTGTTTTTCTCTGCTTCGAATAACTGGTATCAACTATCATTTTATCAATCATTTGCACAAAAGAGTTATCAATACTCAGACAAAGTATAAACTCGAAGAGAATTTCTATTTTGCCAAGAAAATATTTGATTCTCTATCTCATTGTTTGTGTACATTTCGCAGTCTCAGAATATGTCCAACAATGACAAACGAATTAAAGGCAAAGCATAAAACCATGTGATGGTAGGGTTAGTGAAAGAAACCTAAGAATGAGTTATTGCCTTACAACGACACGAGTCCTGCTTCTACCTTTGCGTGCGTTAGCTACCACACTGATCAACGCACCACATGTGTCTAGCACAGAGTTAGCACCCATCAGCTTTAATCCGAGAGTATTCACCATATATGTCAATTTTCTTTCACTACTACTCTCACCCAACTCTTCAAGCTTCTGAGCTTGCTCCCATGATAAGATACCATAAAGCTGAAGATGATTAGTTGGATCGTCTTCAAAGCTGTCAAAACAAACCCTGACTATTCCAAGTGACTTCGGATCATCGGTTGATGGGTTGAAGACAAACGAGAACTGTCCAGATTCAATATCGGGTCTTTTGAACAGATCTTCAAGAACATCGTTACTAACTCCACTGTATCTTTGGACAGGTTTCTTTGGGTAACCGCGAGAAAGATTCACAACGCGTTGAATCCGAGACGCTTCTCTTAACCCGCTTAAGTAGGCGCCGTGCATTGTTGCTGGATGTTGCCTTGTCGTGGCTTCACCAGCGAAGAATAGTCGGTTATCTACACTTTCTGCTAGAATGTCGTAGTCCACGCCAGATGAGCCAACTCTTACGTGAGAGTATGATCCGTATGAGAAAGGATCACTTCCCCATCTAGTGCAGATCGTCTGTATTGGGTCAGGTACAACAACACCTTTAGGACCATATATACCTGCAGAGATATCAGTGAAAAAAACATTATTATATAAAGAACTCAGAGAGAGCCAAGAAGTTGATGACGTTGTTAACTTACCTCTGAGTTTTTTCAAAACACGATGAAGTAAAGTAGATGGGTCTGTGGACTCAAATCTTTGAGCAGCTTCTCCAGCAACTAAGGCAACTAAAGCAGGTCCACCAGAGACTGTATGGTATGCGTAGAAGAGAAAGAACTCTCCTCGGTCAATGCTACTATCATTGAGGCATCCAAATGTATCCAAATCATCACCCCAAAAGACAGACGGGAAAAGCATAGCGACTTTGTTCAAAAGACCAAAGCCCAGCCTGTCAATAGCAGCTTGCTTTCTCCTAGGTAACTCTGGCTCAAACTTAATACATCTTTTCTTCAAAACCCCAAGCGGCACGGTGCAAAGAATCATGTCTGCTTGAAATCTCTGGCTTCCAGAAACCACTTCAACTCCTCCCTCTCCATACTTAATAGCATCAACTCTCTTCCCATATAGAATAGGTAACCCTTCAGCTAACGCATTGATAAGTCTCCAATTCCCACCAGCAAGAAAACAATGATCCCCACCCATCTCATACGGATCATCCTGATCCCAATACGCAGCAGAAAGATTCGAAACACACCCCGCGTTCGCATACTCCAAGTTCGCAACATGCCAATCAAACACCTTCCTCTCCTCCTTATCTTTCGCCACACCATACAAAACCCTAAGAGTCTCCAACACTTCACCCAACGAAACCTTATTACCATCCCCACCCATCATCTCCCTAACTTCTGCAACCTTATCCAACAACTTATTAAACCCAAACTCGACGTTTCCATCAACCACCTTATCAACAACCTCCCCCTCAGAGTCATACAAAGGACAGTGATCCCTCACCTTATGAAGAGGAATCGAAAGCTGCCTCGCGAGAACCCCGAGAGGATTCGCGTGTAAACCTGTGATAACACTCCCACCAAGCTCAACAGCTCCTCCAAAACTCCCTTCCCCTCCCATCCTCTGAGTATAAACTCTCCCTCCAGCTCTCCCCCTCCCTTCCAAAACAACAACCTTAAACCCGAACGACAAAAGCTGCCTCGCAGCGGATAAACCAGAAAGTCCAGCCCCAACAACGATCACAACTCCTTCTCCACAATCATCATTATTCAAATATCCATTAAACAAAGGAGACACGCCGAAATTAATGTAACCGTTAAAGAGCAAAAACTCATAAGCCTTTGAAATCAAATGCTCGCATTCACTACTAACAGACTCTCTAATCTCGTCTTTGAGAAGCCAAACCCTAACGTTACTCCTCCACCTAGCGACTATATGGTTCCTAACGACGATGTAGTCGTTCTGCTCTCTCCCGCCTAACTCCCTCACCACGCCGGCGCGGATCTCGTCGTCGAGAAGCTCGTCGATCGGGAAACCGACGGATAACGCGATCAGAGCCTCCGTCTCGGTCTCTTTCTCTAGCTGCTGCTTCGTTTTGATTTTTTTCTTGGAGGTTTCGATGATTTCGTCCATCGCGTTCTCGTCGTAGTTTTTTCTGATTGCTTTTTTTCTTAGCGTTCTCCGTGGAGCGGGGACTTCCGACGACGGAGTTGTATCCATTTCGGCTGAATTGATCGGAGAGATTGGCCGGTGAGTCTCGTTAGAGAGGAAGGGATTCGATTTCTCGAAGCGACGGTGTGATTCGAGGGAAAAAAAGAGTTATGGGCCTACACGAATACAAATCATAGGCCCATTGGGCTATTGCTTAATACTAATTCGTAGTGTCTTGATGTTAGTGTGTTGCGGATGGTATTGTTGAGTAGTTCAAAATAGATTCTAGCTCCATTCGTTTTTCAAAATGATGCATATTGGGCAATTATCTCAGATAAAACATTTTTAAGTTTTTCTGACAAAATAGTATTTTTATTTTAAAATTGTAAGTTTTTTTTTTTTTTAATTTGAAACTCTATCTCCAAAACTCACTCCTCGATCTAAAAAAAAGTATATAATTAGTTAATCCAAAGGGTATAAGTGTATATTTACTTATTTTTTATAAAATATTTAAGTCTATTTTGATCATTTTATTTTTAAATTCTATATTTGTGACAAAAAACAATTAAAGTCTATCCTAAGAAATTTCTCTTAAATTTTTTCACATGTATGAATAAAAATATTTAATTTCAGTATTAGATGCATATTTTTAATTATTTATTTTGTATACTTTTAAGCGAATAAAATTTCAGAAAATACAATTAAAATTTTGAAAATTTACAATTAATTATTATTAAACAATTAGTTAATAAAAATTACATTAAAAATATATCTTTTGAAATATATTTTTTTGTTGTGTATCTTTATGAAATGGAGGGAGATGAAAAATGTTTTCTGGTATGAGTATTTCTTTTCTTTTTTTTTTTTTTTTTTCATGAGAACCTTTATTCATTTTCTTTCATAATTTCATATTTTGTTCTAATTCTGAGATACTCTTGGTTGAGATGGAGGAAGATATGTTACATGTCACTATTGAGATAACCAAAGCAGCCCATACACAAAGTGGTGTAATGTTGAAGGTAAAGAGGACATGGAAATTTAATGTAACGTAGGGACAGGGTCATTGTCTCTCTATTTCATCACATTATGAAAAAAAATTGACATTTCTCTCCGGTTCATATTTGTATATATCTCACATGGCCTTTCCACATCTCTCTACTCACATGCCATTTATTTTGTGATCCACATGCTGGGATCAATCAGACATATAAAGATCTTACACCTTATCCACCTCACGGTCAGTCTATTTCTGTATTCTGATATTACCATACAGAAAGTAATAAAACGGAATTTTAAAAGTGGAATAACAATGGTTAAAACTCGGTGACTGTGATTATAACATAGGATTTCTTATCATATGTGTTCATGCGCCTACACGCATAGATCGTAATGATGATTAGACCAGGTGTGTTTATGCAGGTACCTGTATAAAAAGTGTAATTATCATACCTTGCTGTACGTAGTTGAAGATATACTTGTAATGATTGTTGAATAAGATACCTTTTCATGCTAATAATTGTACACTTTCGACCTGCATGGGTAAGAAAAATGTAGTTGCAGCAAGTAGTAGCTCGAAAATGGCATGTAGTGGACCCCCATGTTCATTGTTCCTACAGTAGTTTTACATCATGATCTTTACATCTGGCCAGTTAATGTATGTGTGTATCATGAAATAGATTGAACCATATTTTTTCAGATTATACTAATTACACTTATGTTTATTATCTAAAGCAGTTTTTCCTCAGACTTGAAGAATCCATTAGTAAAAATTAACATAAAAGCTCGGAAAACACGGTTTTAATGACGGAAGCGACAATTCATTGTATCAGTGTCATTATGAAAAGTGAAAACACACAGAATTGAAGAATTCCAGATTGTTAGAATATTTATGTGGGGCGCTACCAACCTACCATAATAGATGTTAAATTTAGGGTTATTGCCTATATTACTATTGACGTAGGACCGATTAATTAAGTGTACGTAGTAAAGAATACGACCAAACAATGCCCTCTGAAAACATGCATGTAATTTCTTAATTAAAAGTACCCCGCACGATGTACACTATTTCAGATTTAACCATATTACGAATAATCGCTATGTCATTAGAAAAAAATTATCACCGCACGAAGTATCAAACTTCCGTTACTTATTCTATGATATTAAAAAAAGAAGTCCAGGACTCGAGGAACAGAAGACAATGTATAGCTTTGAAACGTGGGCTAACACAGACTGTTCTATATAAAAGAATACAAAATTGTTTGTTTAATACGTAAGATAAAAGTATATAATATAAATGTTTTTACTATGAAATTTGAATAATACAGGCGAGTAATTAACATGATGTAAACAAAGTTAATTGTCTTTGCGTACATCATACATGCTCATGCCGGCACCTACCCCAAGCTAAAAAGGAGTCATAAAAAAAGCCATTAAACGTTGTATTTCTGTAGATATCTGTTTGCTTCTTAAGAATTCTTAATTCACGAGTTACCAATGCCGTATAATAGTTGTTGAGCCAAAAACATTAATATATGTATAGTTAATATGTGGGTGGTAGTATGACAGGAGGAGACTGATTGAAGCAGTGACGGCATTGGCCGCCGTTGATGATGTCTTCAAAGGACGTTTCTGGGACATATATACAAAAGCATGAACGATTAACAATACTAATCCTCTCAGCTAAATCAATAATTAATCAGATCCAAACAAGAAACTAATTATTGAAATATCTTCTCAAAAAGCATTTGGAGTCCATAAAGGTATTTAATATGTTCCCACCCACAAATCATTAGAATGATGAAATTATAAATCATTTGTTTAGAGATATCGTGGGATCATGGGTGGTGGAAGTTTTATGTTATAGAGGAGGACCACATGATCTGAAAATTTATTTGAAAATTTTGTAAGAAGGAAAAGAGTGAAATTAGAGAGATAATGATTAGAGGGATGGTGTGGCTTGGACGGACCCACGATTGTTTACTACATGACACCGGAGCCCTGAACTACCTGTGATTGTGCTCTGTTCTATACTTACACATAGGCTGGACCATTTGGTCCATTTCCTCTTTTATTTTGTGGTTTACACATTTGTAGTTAATTAACTTGCTTATTTTCTAGTTAATCCGATCCGATTTATTCCTCCTTTATTTTGAATTCATGCAATGTCAATCACGGATCTTCTTTTTTAAGGAACTTGTTTAAAGAAAAAGGGCATGTTGCTTCGTTTAGTTTTGAACGGTTTGTAAATGATACACTATTGTATCTTATGATCAACGTAATTAACTGGCACTTATATTTTTATTGAAACTTTCAGATTTTAATTAGACGTGTCGGCTGTGTCTATGTTCTTAACGACGTTCGATTCGTTTTCCGAGGTTTTGTTTGTCATTGAGAGGGTGTTAAGGAGATCTAAAATATGGTCACAAGGCTACAAAAATTTAAATTCAAACTAAAGAGTTGTTATATGTACCCATATACTAACTTCTTCTGATAAAGGAGAAAAAAAAAGGATAAAGAACAAAAATGAGTGTCTTCAAGTTCAAGCAATTTTCTAACTAAGCAATATAAAATTCATATTATTAGTAACAGATTTTCTTGTCAATGTCTTGGATATAAAATGATAGCGAAATTGCATTTTTAAACTTAATGGTCTCTTTCTTTGTGATGTTTTTTACGTATATGCTAATTTCGAGTTTTTGTATTTACATCACACGAACCCGTCATTTATATATCTCATATTATATATATACTAGGTAAATCTCTACAAACAAAACAAGTTTTAGAAAGAATATTTCCTGGGAATAGTTTGTGACTATAAAGTTATAAACCCATAAAAAACTATATTTATATGTTATTTGCAGAATTTGAGTTTTTACTTTTGAGATTGTTAAGTCTTTTATTCAAATTGGGACCAAAAAGATCTAAAGGCTTCCAAAAGGCTAAACTAACTGGGACCAATTATGCTCAAAGACCAAATACAACGGCCTCTATGAGATTTTAAAAGACTAGTAAATATCTCTAAACCAAATTGAATCAGACAGAAAAAAAATAATCTACCCAATCAAAGATTACAAAACCAGCATATAATCGGAGAAGTGTCAAACTCTCATTTTTTTAAATATTTTTGTTTATAGTTTGAGGGTAAGTATTTTATTTTCTTTAATGCTAGAGTTTCATTCTCCAAATGCACAGCACTTTGCCCAATCAGTAACCGGTAAAACTAAAATTATTTAAAGTAACCAGTACAATTGGTTATTATCATAACCAATGTTTGGGTTTCTTAAAACTTTTAGTTGAAATCATTCAAATTTCAAACTTAGAGATCATTTACTATAATATTATACATTCAAAAAGGCAAAACATAGTTTATTGTTACTTTTGATGAAATCATGAAATTAGTGAGTGAGAGCTTGGAAAAAAAGTAAACATACTTCAACAATAATATTGCAGAGAGAGAGGTTCATTAGAGCACCCCCATCAAAAGATGACGGAGGAGGTTCACACACAAACCAAGAAAAAAAAACAATAAAATAATGTAAAAGTTGTGAACATGGGCTTCAGAGGTTCATGGCAGTGAACCTGGTTCACTACTGTTTCGTGGACTCCACGCCACGTGGCAGCCCACGATTGATCACTTTTTTTTTTTTTTTTTTTAAAAGAAAAAGATAAAACGAAAATAAAAAAAAATAATAATAAAAAACTCAGTTTGTGAACTCCAAGTTGGGGTTCACTGATGCCGATGCCCTTCTATAAGTAGTACTCTGAAAAGAAAGTAACTTTGTTGTTACTAGAGAGTCACATAGCAAAACATAATTAGAGAGAGACTATACAGCTTATTAGCTAGAGAAGGAAAAAACCTTATAAATAAAAAAAGCTATATTCAATTCAAAATTAATCTGCGATTCTCGTATTGTGTTCTAGCAGAGCCGTGCTTTGATTGTGAAAGAAGAGAAGAAGCTTGAAGACAGACGAAATCAATTAGCGGAAACCAATGCTTCTTCTGGTAATATCATTTTCCGCTCTAAACGGTTGTTGTCTTCTTCTCCTTCTCGTCTGGTCTCACTCCATCGTCTCTCTCTCTCTCTTTTTTTCATTTTACGGTTGAATCGTTTTCATGGCAGTGAAATTCATGAGGAGATAGCTTTGCTACTCAAATTATTTTGTTATATTATTATTATTTATATCTTCTTCTTCCTCTGGCAGTTTGCGATAAATAATTAAATACTATTAATATGTGTATCTATCTATTCTTTAATCGCAATGGTTTTTATGGTTGAATCGCTGGGAAAATTTTCCGTATTCATTGATTCTCATAAAATTCGTTACTAAAAATCTTCAGCTAAACGTTTCAAGGAGGTTAAGGTTTTAATCTCCACCAACTGCGATTTTTTTCTTTCTTTCTTTAGAGTCTTCTCTCTTTGATTCTTCAATCACAATCTCCCGTTTCAACACCGTTTTACTCTTTGTGTATTTTGCAGGTGGAAATTTGAAATTAGGACATCTTTTTGAGTGAGGAGACGTCTCGTGTCTTGTCTGCTGAAAGAAGATTTCAGCTCTTTTTGTTCCTTAGTTGTTGTCAGATCCAAAAAACTCAAGAAGCTTTGACTAACTGATTTGACAAAAAAAAAAGGGGGGAAGATTCAAAAAATAAGAGGAAGCAAAAGTGCTGATTGGATTGTGAGTGGAGAGGTATCTGTTTGGTTTCTTTTTTTTTTTTTTTTTTGCTTTTGCTGGAACAACCAAATTATTATTAGACACACTTTTTGTTTTTTCTTGGGAGATTCTTGAATCTTCTGTTGTGTACTGTGTTTTTCTTTTTTTCAAGTTTCATGTGAATGATTCATTGGAAGAGGGAGAAGAAGAAGAAGAAGAAAGCGCAGAGAGAGAGAGAGAGGAAAAGGTCTTGTCAAGTCTGTGAGTTTTGTACTCATCTGTAATCAAAGGGAGAGAGTCTTTGCTTCTTGTCTTGATCTCCACCTTGGTGGTGGGGGCAAAAGCTAAATAATGCAAAGCTAACTAATCCTGGCTTCTTCTACTATCTTTGTTATCTCTCCCAACAAAAAAAAAGTACAGTTCCTCTGAGGATTGTGTTATAAAGAGATAACATAAAAAAGAGGGTCAAGAAAGTAGCTTAAATGAGTCGTCTACAGAAGCGAGGGAAGCAGGAGAAGCCTGTTGTAGTATCTGATGGAGCTGTAAAGGTTATTGTTGCTGTTAAAGCGTCTAGAGAGATTCCAAAGACAGCTTTGATTTGGGCTTTGACTCATGTTGCTCAGCCTGGGGATTGCATTACTCTCATTGTTGTTGTCCCTTCTCAAAACTCTGGTACTTTTCTTGCCACGCTCCTTGTATCAACTGTCGTGTTGGTCTTTTATGGTTGTTCTTATCTCATTAAGTTTCTGATGAATTTGTAGGAAGGAAACTTTGGGGTTTCACTAAGAGTTTCCCTATGTTTGCTGGGGACTGTGCAAGTGGTCATAGGAAACCACATTCTGAAGCACTACCAGAGATAAAGAGTGATCTCACTGACACTTGTTCCCAAATGATTCTCCAGCTTCATGATGTCTATGATCCCAATAAGGTTGGCTCTATAAGCAGACATTCTTAGCTATAATGATCCTGTAGTAGCATCACATCTTTCTCACTATTTTGTTGTTACTGTTTGTGATTACTTTAGATAAATGTCAAGATTAAGATTGTTTCTGGCTCTCCCTGCGGAGCAGTTGCTGCTGAGGCAAAGAAAGCGCAAGCAAACTGGGTAGTACTAGACAAGTAATAATCTACTTTCATCCTCATATCCTTTAGTTTGTGAACTAATGGGTCAAATCTCATAATGATGACTTGAACAGTTATATTCTCTTTCACCAACTTACACCAGGTTTCTGTGTGATTTGGTTTGCAGACACCTCAAGAATGAAGAGAAACGGTGCATGGATGAATTGCAATGCAACATTGTGGCGATGAAGCGTTCTCAGGCAAAAGTTCTGCGTTTAAATTTGGTTGGTTCGCCTAAGAAGGGTGCTGAGATAGAGTCTCCTTTACTAATCGGACCTGAAGCAGCTTCTGAAAAGCACAAAAAGAACACAAAAGGATCCTCAGATTCTGACAGAGGACTACCTGTAACTCCAACCAGCAGCCCTGAGCTAGGGACACCATTCACAAGTACAGAACCCGGGACTTCATCAGTGTCCAGCTCCGACCCGGGAACTTCACCTTTCTTCACTTTGGGAATGAGTGGATACATGAAGAAAGATGGAGCATTGGTCATCAAGGAGAATGATGACTCCGGCTCCGAAACAGAGAGTGAAAACCAATCATTAGCGTCAACTAGTAAGAGATTCCAGCCATGGATATCAGAATACATTAGCCCCCATCGCCATTCATCTCTGGACGCTGAGGAAAGCTTATGGAAAAACGACGACAGGGCTCAGATAACCACTACAAAGGCTTTGCTTGAGAAGTTCAGTAAGCTAGATGTAGAAGCTGGGTTGTCCTCTAGTCGAAGGATGGAACTGGAGTTTAGTGGAAGTGTAAGAGACGCAATATCACTCTCTCGAAACGCTCCTCCTGGTCCACCTCCTCTCTGTTCTATCTGCCAACACAAGGCGCCTGTATTTGGGAAACCTCCAAGGCTGTTTTCATATGCTGAGTTAGAGATTGCAACGGGTGGGTTTTCAGAGGCTAACTTCTTGGCTGAGGGTGGATATGGATCAGTTCATCGTGGTGTACTACCAGAAGGTCAGGTAGTTGCAGTAAAGCAACACAAACTGGCTAGTTCTCAGGGAGATGTAGAGTTTTGCTCTGAAGTGGAAGTTCTCAGCTGTGCTCAGCATAGGAACGTTGTTATGCTGATTGGTTTTTGTATTGAAGATAGGAGACGGCTCTTGGTTTATGAGTATATATGCAATGGTTCACTTGACTCCCATCTATACGGTAATGTTACCTAAAATTTACATTTGAGCTCTTTGTGGTTAGCTCAGTATTAAACTCTTATACAGGTCGCCAAAGGGAGACACTGGAATGGTCAGCACGGCAAAAGATCGCTGTTGGAGCTGCAAGAGGTTTAAGGTATCTTCACGAAGAGTGCAGAGTTGGCTGTATTGTCCACAGAGATATGCGTCCTAACAACATCCTCATCACTCATGACAATGAGCCACTGGTATTTAAAAATATGGTCTTTGTTTTTGTAACAACACATGTTGTTTCATGTGCTCTTTCCTCACCTTTGATTTTTTTATCAGGTTGGAGATTTTGGTCTAGCGAGGTGGCAGCCTGATGGAGAACTGGGTGTAGAGACACGAGTTATTGGAACATTCGGGTGAGACATCAACTAAAGCTATCATTGTCTTAAACTTGAACTTTTCTGTTGCTAAAGGAATGTAATTTTGGTGGGTGTGCAGATATTTAGCTCCAGAGTATGCTGAAAGCGGGCAGATCACAGAGAAAGCAGATGTCTACTCGTTTGGGGTTGTTCTAGCTGAGCTAGTCACTGGCCGCAAAGCCATTGATATTACAAGGCCTAAAGGCCAACAATGCCTCACTGAATGGGTAATGAGTTCATATATCTTAAAACTTTCAGTAATAGTACTGATACTCGTTGGTGTTATCTCAGGCACGTCCGCTACTAGAAGATTATGCAGTGGATGAACTTATCGATCCGAGGCTTGGAGACCGCTTTGTAGAAAGTGAAGTCATATGTATGCTTCATGCAGCTTCGTTGTGTATACGTAGAGACCCACATTTGAGGCCACGCATGTCTCAGGTAATCAAAACTAACCACTCTTCAGTTCAGAATGATTCAAATACTAAAAACTGTCTGGTCAATGATGAAGGTGTTGCGTATACTGGAAGGAGATATGATAGTGGATGGGAACTACGGATCAACTCCAGGCTCAGACGCAGGCAACAGAAGTGGGCGGTTCTGGGCGGAACATTACAGCGGTCAGATAACGAGAGATGGGTATGGGTCGGGTAGGTTCAGTGAAAGGATGTCTGTTGAAACGCCAAGACTAGCTTTACGTGAGAGGGAAAGAGGTCAGAGGTTGGAACCAAACTACAACAAACAATACTAAAGAATAAGAGAGCTTAGCTAAGTAAAAATCACATAACTGTGTCTTAGTGAAAAGTTTAGTTGGTGATATGCCTGTTTTCACTTTTCAGTAATGTGGTCCAAAGCTGGCATCTGACCCTTTTTGTTTGTATAGTGGGTAAGATGCAAAAAAAAAAAAAAGTTGCTAAAAATGTTATCAAGGAATTTCAAATTGTTTTTGGTAAAAGAAATTATTTTAAAAAGAACAAAACAACAAGATATTTTTTTCCACTTTTGAACTTGAATTATTGTGTTTTGAGATCTGCAGTGTGGACAGGGAAAGAGGAACATGAGAAAAACAAAACAATGAGGGCTTTTCCTAACTCACACGACATTGAATAATCATGCATGAGAGATAAGTCAGCTATGATGAATCTGACTTTGCCTGTCGATACAGTTATACATTTGGGTCCTGGTGTAGCATTGATTATATGACACTCACTGGACCATTGAGAAGATGATGACAAGAACTTCTAAATCCACTATAAGATTCTAGAGATGTAAATAGTAAATATACATTATACACAAATATCTCTCAAGTGTCAGCATAGAAGATCCATCTTTATGACTAGTTAGTGGAAATTTAAATTAAAAAAAAAAATGTAGCTCTCATTTGCCTATGATATCTCCACCGTTCTCATGAGAGAAGTGAGGGCTTTTGTGGTTATGAGAATCTTCTACTGTCTCCTCGTCTTGGATCTTGCATATCCGGAAGAACCAATAACCAGAGCATGACATTGGGTTAGCTCTGATATGAGTGTGATATCCTAACAAATGTGATACATTATTGTAACTGAAAAATGTAAGAAATGCAAAAAAAAATACTCTTACTTAATTTCTTGTAACCGGTGAGAGTAAGTATATATATATATATCTATGTACTTTTGTTTTTATGATCTCTGTAAGGCAAAAGCAAACGATGATGATATGTTAAGACATATACTCATGCAACAAGTTTAAGCGCTTTCCCCTTACATGTATCAAAACATAAAGCAGAAACATGAATATACAATTAAGGGCCTACAATTAAACTAGAAATTTTACAAGGGTAACCAGAACATTTACTTCATCTCTCTGATTATTCCACTCCTGCAAGACTCAAAATGGTTTTATTACTCGATAGCGAGATGAGAGTAAAGTAAGTATATATATGCCTGACCTTTCTTTATAGAGTTTGATACATCTTAATGTTGATGTCACACCCAGAAAAGAAAAATTCAACACATTCAAATACAATAAAGTCAATCCACTACTAACGGTGATGTAACGACAGATTTTAAGTTTTTTGGACTTGTGACTTAAAGCTATCTAGAGTTTCAGCCGCACATTTGTGCGGGTATATTTTTCATTTTATAAATATATAACTAAAATTTTTAAATATATAATTTATAATTTAGTTTTAATTATAATTATATCTAATAACAAAATAAAAAATATTTATTTTATAATAAAAATATTTAATTTTTTTGGTAAAATCTTTGTTAGATTTTTTCAACAGATTTTGTTATATTTAAATTTATTTATTACTAATATCTTTATTAATTATTAAAATATTTTGAAAATAATATATATGGTTGGTTAATGTAACAATCAAATATATCAAATTAAATAATTAGTTACATAGTCCAATATGATTTTTAAATAGTAAATAAATTTTGTACTTATCTTTTAATCGGTGATAGTAAATGAATTCATCCCGATCTTTTGTATATTCATTGTTTTATTTTTCGAACGTAAGATCTTTATTTCCAACAACATATTTGCATCACCAAGTCGACCAAAGTGAAAACAGAACTTTTTATATACTTTCAATTCAACCAAAGACACGTAAAATGTTTTTTTTAGTTTAATTAATTTCATTTAATATCCCTTAAAAACAAAACAGGAGACGTTTGAATGTATATGTCTTAACAATACTACAAACTCGTAACGTCCCTTAACCAAAGTTCAAGTACAAATAAAAGAGAGCGCACACGACATGGAGACCGAGAGGGTTCCAAAAAGTCTCCGTCATCGTAGCCGACTCTTCATCCAAGAAGAGATCATCCGTCTTCCTAACCACCGTATGAATCAAGATCAGAACATATCCAATCACCAACGGCCTACTGAAGCTGCGCGTCACGTTGGTCAAGAAGAGGAGCCCCATGGTTAACAATATCAAGAAACTCTGGATGATACTAACCATCCAATAGCGGAACAACTCGAATGGCGCGTCGTCGTCCATGAGGTAAATGAGGAAGATATAGAGAATAACCAACGCAGTGAAGGGGATGAGCCAGACTGGATGATGGTTGATAAGACAACCGTAGATGGCTATCAAGATGATGATGCAAACTATGATCCCGTAGTTCGTGCGGAAGTGATTGTAGTTCGTTTTGAACCTCGAGGAAGCGTCGGAGAAGCCGTGAGGAAGTCCCATGGAGTGGACGTCGAACATTACACCCCAAGGACGACGTGGCATGCCGCACGAGGCGTTCGTGCATTGGTTGTTGTCGCTCGGTGGAGACTCGACGTCCACTACGGGTGACGGTGATGCATGAGATGATGTTTGAATAGTGCCATAGTTTGTCATTTGTTATTGCGCGGAATATTTGAATAGAAGGAGTCAAAGGAAAATAATGAGAAGACTATTTTTAATTTATAAACTGAGCACTGTTATATATGGAGTGGAGGTCCATTGACCAGTCAACGGAAAATAATGAAGACTGTTCTAATTAATCTTGTTTTATTGAAGTTTACACCTTTTATCATGAGTTAATGATATATAGAAAATCTAACAGATTTATCATCTTCATAAAACAAAGAACAATGTATATATTTTCATTTTTCTTATTTTGGTCTAGTTTCAAGGACTACAAAGGGTATTAGGGTATAATTGGTTACAACACATCGATTGCGGTTGCGGTTGCGGATGTTTGCGAATGCGGAAGATTGCGGTTTTAAGCGTTAGTAAGAGATTTATACGACTGGTTCAACCGTTAAAAATTGTTGCGTTTGTGAGATACTTATGACTGATTTATCATCAAATACAACTGCGGTTAAATAATAAATAAACAATATTTATATTTTATATAATTATCAAAATATTAAAATCATATTTTCATGATAAATATAAACTTTTTTTTGAAAAAAACTGCACTATTAAAATTTTAAAATATTAAAGAAAATATTTTTTTGGAAATTTTATAATATAAATATTTTAGTATTTCAATTATTTTAATTTAAAATTTTAATTGAATATTTTATTTTATATTTATATAGTTTTTGGAAAAAAAAATATTTTTTATCCTTCTGCAATCGTCCACAACCGCAAACGATAGCTGGAACTAGTTTTTGGATTTTAGAGATTCAGAACGATTTGAAACAATTTATAGCATTTTCTGTGATTGTTGTGAAATGCCAACAATCGTTATCAACCACAAAAACTGTTTTTGCGGGTGATGGCTGGGAGAAACAATCAAGCTCTTAGTAAAGTCAATAACGCGTTTAATAAGTAGCAATCAGACGCGGAGTCGCCAAGGGAGATAGGTAACAATAATATTTGACCTGATCACACGGCATAATTGTTGAGCTTCTTCTAGATGTTGATATATAAGCTTTTATTTCTTTCCAGTGAATGAATCCAAATGATACGTATTTAAACATATTCCAATAGTTAAATCAATACAATAAACAAAGAATCACCATCAGCTAGTGTAAGCACAAATCTAATCTAATCTTTATACTAGTTGCTCTCCTTCTCCTTCTCCTTCTCTACGTTAATATAGCATCTCAATTGTTACTACAAAACCACGCTTCTAAATGTATTATTCCAACCTTTTGGCATTTATCGTTATCCTTTGGAGAATCACTACAACTTCCAGGTTCTTGCGTCTCATCGAGATCACTTTCCCCCACATGCATCAATATATATAATTAAACTAGGAATTTTACAAGGACCACAACATTAACTTTCATCACTCTGATCGTCCTAAGACTTAGACTTAAGACGAATCTGTTACTCGTCTGATTTATATATATAACTTAGCGAGAACATAATAAAGTATCTATACATATACCTGTCCTGTCTTTTCCTCTAGAGTTTGATCTTAGCTACTTCTTCATGTAGATTTCACAACTTAGAAAAACGTCTTCAGCACACAATCAAATACGATGCAATCTACCCACGAACGATCATCAGTTGATGATGCAAGGACATATTGCATCACCAAGTCGTTCAAAGTAAAAATGGAACTTTTTCTCTACTCTAAGTTCAACATTTTTTTTTCTATACTTTCAATTCAGCCAAAGAAGCTAATTAAATTCTGTTTAATAGCCCTTAAAATTGAGATGTCACACGGAACAAAGCCTCGCCGGAAATAAAAAGGACAATTCTTTTAGATAGACATTTTTAAGTTTTGATCACAAAAATAGATTGGAAAACTAAAGTGACCAAATAAGGATTATTTTATTTGAAAGTTTTAAATTTTTTTTTTACTTTTAAAAATTTGAAATCCTATCTCCAAAATCACACTCCTCAACTTTAAAAAAAAATCTATAATTAACTAACCTAAATGTTATAAGTATATATTTACTGATTTTTGATAAAACCTTTAAATTTATGTTGGTAATTTTATTTTTAAGATCTATATTTGTGACAAAAACTTTTTAGCTTCATCTAGAAATTGCTCAAAAAAAAAACACAAAAAAAAAACACGAGACGTTAGAAAGTATGTGAAATTTATATATTGTTTTATACGTTCGGCCAATCACACTATAACATTTGTCTTGACAAATGGTAACAATTGAAACGTCTAAGGTCGTAACATCCCTCACGGCCCTAAACAAATCTGAAGAAACAGAGCAAGTAAGGGAACCCAATTCCAAAAAGACTCAGTCCTCGCGGCAGCCTCTTCATCTAGGAAGAGATCTTCCGTCTTCCTAACCACCGTATGGATCAACACCACAACACATCCAATCAACAACGGCCAACGCAAGCTACACGTCGTTTTGGTCCATAAGAAGAGACCCGCGGCTAACAAAATTAAGCACATCTTGACTATCCGAAACACACAATCGTTGATCTGATAATGGAACACCTCCATTGGCTCGTGGTATTGGAGGTGAAAGAGGAAGACATAGATTGAAACCAACACGGTAAAGGCGATGAGTGTGACCGGATGCTTGATAAGACTACTGTAGATGACTATCAAGAAGATGATGGAAAGGAAGATCGCGTAGTTCATCTGAAAGTAATTGTAGTTCGTTTTGATTCTTGAGGAAGCATTGGAGATGCTGTGAGGAAGCTCCATGGAGTGGACGTCGAACATCACTCCCCAAGGACGACGTGGCATGGCGCGGGCGGGTTTGGTACGTTGGTTGTCACTTGATAAAGACTCGACATCGACCACGGGTGGTGACGGTTATGCATGAGACGACGTTGGAATCGTGCTATAGTTTGTCATTTAATTATTGCGCGGAATATTTGAATAGAGGAGTTAAGGGAAAATAATGAGAAGGCTATTTCAATTTATAAACTGGGGACTGTTATATCTTATATATATGGAAAAATATATATGGAGGGGAGGTCCATTGAAGAGTCCACGGAAAATAATGAAGACTCTTCTAGTTTATAATCTAGGTACTGTTACATATGGAGGTCCATTGAATTAGGTGATGAACATTTGCATATAGTCGTTTTAAAAATTATTGAATCTATGTTTAAAGAATAAAACAAAATTAATTTTTTTTTTTTACGTGTGCGATAATACTACTATAGTTAAGCCTGGACGTTTCGGGTATCGGTTATATTATATGTATATTATATATTTGGGTATCCGTTAGGTTTTCGGTTCGATTCAGTTATTTTGGATGTATAAATATAAAAAACGTTCAGATATTTAAAGGTTTCGGTTTCGGTTTCAATTTCGAATAATTTGATTCGGTTTCGGTTCGGTTCTTTGGTTCCGGTTTTTTGGCCCAGGCCTGATTACAGCAGTGTAGCGTGAGTGATGTGTGATTCATGTCAGTCTGAAAATTACAAATTTAGATTTTCAGGATTCGAGATCGCTACGTCCATGCAGGCAGGAAGAATTACAAAATACTATTGCATTAACTATATCTCACAAAGTTATTTGAACTGATCAGATTTGGTAAACGTTATAATCATCTAATAACAATATGATGTTTTAGTTACATAACCAAAAGTAGTAAATTCGAATTTAATTTTATTGATATATATTGAAGTTTACACCTTCTATCATGAATTAATAAAAAATACATAGAAAATATAACACATTTATCTTCATAAACAAGAACATTACACATTTTCATTTTCTTATTTTGATATAGTTTAAAGGACTAACAAAGGGTATTAGACTATTACTCTATTAGTAATCAGACGTCAATAACGAGTTTGAAAAGTAGCAATGAAACACGGAGTCGCGGAGTTCGTCATTGACTTGTCCTACAGAGATCACACGGCAAAAAGCCGAAGACAATTAAGCGGAGACTTTACATTATTGAGCTTGTTATAGATGTTGATAATTTTGATTTATTACAAAGGTCGTGTTCTTATATAAATAATCTAGAACAAAATTACAAGAAACAATGCATGAGTCTTCGATTATACTAAAAAAACAGAAGGAAGTTTTAACAGTTTTGAATGGATCAAACTTCAAACTCGTAACATTCGTCACCCAAAACAAAAGAGTCTCAAACCAAACTCACACCAATAAAAATGCTAAATCATTACACATAAAATGATTTAAAAAAACCATACAATAATATACAGAAACAGATACATAATGATTTAAATGAAAGTTATGACGTCAGCCCTGAATAGTCTCACCCGTCGCCGCCTCTTCATCCAAGAAGAGATCCTCCGTCTTCCTAACAACCGCATGGATCAAAACCAACACAGCTCCGATCAACAACGCACCAACTAAGTTAAGCGTCACGTTGGTCAAGAACAGCAGAACGATGGTTATCACCGACAAACAAACCAAGACCGTGTGATCATCTACCTGATAACGAAACAACCTGATAGGCTCGTCTCTAAAGAAATAAAGAAAGATCCATACAAAAACCAAAACGGTCAGAACAATAAGCGATGTCGGATGCTTGATAAGGCTGAAGAAGATCACGACCAAGACAACGATCGCGTAGTTGGTCTGGAAGTAGCTTAGGTTTTTCTTGATTCTTGAGAAAGCATCGGAGACGCCGTGAGGGAAACTCATGGAGTGGAGATCAAACATTTGTCTCCATGGTCGGCTCATGGCGAGTCCGTCTTTGATACGTTGCTTGGCACGTGAGATTGAGTCGGGATCCATCACCGGAGAGCTATGAGACGACGTCGGAATGGCGCCGTAGTTCGTCATTGTTTTTATTACTATTATTATTGATTAAAATGGAATATAATGAAAAGACAGTTGTAATGTATAAATGTGGGAACTGTTGTTATATGGAGGTCCGTTGAGTTAGGTTATACACATTTGCAGAAATTTTATGCTTATTGGATGAAAGAAGATTAGTTAACTTATATTAGATCATGTCGTAATAATGTTATAATAGTGTAGCGTGAGGATTTGATTAAGTATCTGGTCAGTGTCTGAAAATTATAAAAGTTAGATTATCTAGAGTTGGTCAACAGCAACTTAATACTATAGTAGATTACATGTTGAGGACAGTTTAGTTAAATTTAAATTTAATTTGATAGATTACAGACATGAAGCCACCGAGTAAGAGATGACATTATTGGATTGTCCTACATACACGTGGCCTATTCTAGAGGAGTCTTTCTTTCACTTGACATGTCGGCAAATACTTTTGAGTAAATATTTACAGTTATAGTCCTTTATTCTGTGTTATGATATAAATTCAGCCACAATCGTTTGCTTTCTTTCATTTTTAACCAAAATACAGAAGCGATTGGCCAACACAAAGTTTAGATCAGACAATTCACTTCCCATGTCACTAGAACCAGACGGGCCAAACGAATTTCTACCTTGTTTTCTTCGATTCCTCTATGAAATCTTGCCAAAGAAAATAAGCACCAACGACGTCGTTTCTCTGAACCTTCCAATTTCATTGGTTTTGGGCTTTTACAAACAATGAACTTAGTTATGGGCCTATATAACATAGTAGTCCATGGTATCAATAACATTGGGAGTACACTTCTTGACAACATACTAGTCGTAAGTTCAAGAAAATGTTAAATTGACATTATTAGTTGGTGATGGTGTGATGATACTGGCTGTTAGTGATGTTCAGTGAAAACAACCCTTTTTGTCTTTGACACCTTTAAATAAGTTTAAGTGGGTTGTTATGTTAATTACATCAACTTCTGATTGGAGGATAAGGAATATCACAATTCCACAATCGTTATTGTATAACATCTTATATTATTGGAGCCCAAAGGTTGTTCCTTACCTTTCATTATTTCAAAATCCTAACAATAATTGATCAAATCAGTTAGAAACAAGAACTCTGTACAATTTCTAGAAATTACAAACATAATTATTGACGATTAAACTTCCAAACCGGGTGGTGATCGATCAAATCACTCTTCCAGAGAGAATAAGAATGGACAAAAAGGACAGAGAAAGAAGAAAAATGCAATACGCATAATTCTATCATCGTGAATTAGACTATACATCTCATCTATGACTTTTTGTGTGAGGAAATGTTTGTTTTTTAGTTTTTTTTTTTCTAGTAGGAGATGTCTGATCTGGAGTTTAAACTGAGATTTAAAGCATGACCTGATCATCTTTGTTTGGCTATTAGGGCATCTCTAACCACACTCTATTTTTTACTTTAAAATAGAGTTTTAGAGTTAAAGTATTCCAATGATACTCTATATCTCACTCTATAGTAGAGTGAAAAATAAGGTTACTCCAAAAATATAGAATAACTTTTTTTTTTTTTATAAACTCTATTGGCTGATCCGTTTGGCCCCGGGAAAAATACATTTAGTGCTACACACTGGACTGGCTACCACACTGCCTGACCCGAGTTTGGAATACCTTCCGATTAATGTTAGGGGTGAACCGATCATCTATTACGATCCACCAAGTAAATCATTTGGAGCGAAGCCCAAACCCAGACTAGTCAAATAATGATAATTTAGTTCCCAGAGGGAATCGAACCCATGACTGATGTGGATACACACCAAGTCCTAAGAGATTACCACCAAACTACCATCACTTGGTTAATATAGAGTAATTTGTTTTTTTCTGTTCATCACTCTATTTTTCTCTCTAAAATAGAGTATCATTGGAGTAAATTTCAATTCTATTATTAAATGACTCTATTTTAGAATAAAAATATATAATGTAAACCATTGGAAATGGTCTTAGACTATTAGCAACAATTTTGTTCACAGATTTAAGACCGACGAGTTTATACTTTGCTCTGAGTTCACTTCTACCACTAACCTAAGTAACCTACTCACACTGGTTTAGATCGATATCGGAAACATAATCAACAATATATAAACTTAGTCTAATGATTATGACGATTGAAGACAATAGTTCATGGAAATTAAGATTCTATATCATGTTTACATATATCAATATCATACACCATTCACTACAAAACTAGAAGTTTTACGGTCAACAAAGGAAATAAACACTAGGTTGGGTCTACATGCAGACAACTCAACAAACATAAAGGTTTGGTGATTGTGTCCTAATTTGCCTTCGACATAAAACGACAAATATTTGACACGTGTTCTGTCACATCCCACACGTGCGATTCCTTTTTTTGTCTCTACACTGCATCATGTTGTCTGTTCTGTCTCACTATCACTTTCATACACTCCCGCTGACAAACACTCGTGTGTGTAACTTTAACCTTTTTAGCTTTTCATAATGCAAAATTGATTCTCTTTCTCCACAACAATCATCTTCGTTTGATCCAGATGGGTAACTTGTTTTTCATATGCACGGTAGGAAAATTTATAACTGTATCTTCTTCTGCAGTCCATCTGCATATCAAAATTACCAACAACGTTTCGAATAAGTCACTAAAAACTTGAGAGTTATTTACCAAAAAAAAAAAAAACTTAAGAGTTAGGAAAATATAAATTTAGGTTTTGAATGTTAATTGTTACAAGTTTTCCCCAAAATACACTTCCACTTTTGTCTTTTAAGAACGGAGTCCAACTTGTCAAAAAGAGATGCGACTTATTTGGTCCTAACGTACCATTTTGTCTAATTACCACACAATATCTTTTTGTCATCAAATTTAAATATATATAATAAATATGAATATTTCTGTAAGCATCTATAACGTAAGAGCTGATTACCTGAAGCGAGTGACAAGATGGTGAAGGAAAATTGAAGTTTCAAGACGGGCCAAATCGAGACCAGGGCACAATCTCTGACCACCTCCAAAAGGACTGAAACTACTCGTGTTCATGTCTCTTTCCTATTGTATAAAAATGTACATCAAATAAAATATATAAAGTCTATATAATTTGATTGTATATCAAATGTATTTGTATGGTTCTTACTTGCCATCTCCAGGGATTGAATTTGTAGGGGGAGTCATAATAAAGTTTATCAAGATGGACTGATCTGAGATAAGCCAAGAAGCACCATCCTTTTGGTATCACGTATCCTTTTATTTCAACATCTTTCATCGCTTTTCGCATCACTCCAATTATAACATTTCCCATTCTCAGTGTCTCTGTAATAACCTGATGATAATTGGTACTTAATGCCTTTTCACAAGAGAACTATCCATATAATAATGCCCTTTTTCAGAAAAAAAAACTATCCATATAATAATAATTAACTTATTTCAGGGACAAGGAGAATATATATACCTTTTGTGTAAAAGGTAATGACAAATAGTCATTCCAAGATAGTGGGTCTCCTGTCAATTCCTTTAATCTTTTCAGCTCAATGTTTTCTTCCTGATAACTCAAAATTTTATAAAGTAAGAGAAGTGCTAAAAAAATTGTCGTGGCAAACATATATCCACGAGTAATTATCAGGTCCCAATCCATCATTTGTCTATTGTGAAATAGAGAAAAGTCTATCAATATGGCTTAAACTTCTTTTTCATGCCCAGAAAATTTTATACTAGATTACGTACGTTTCAAAACGTTTAGCCATCATGTGCAATATATACTATTTGAATATAGATATTTATCTATGATTAGTAGACCAACGAACTAAAACAACTATCATTGCTTGAATACTGTTTTAAGTTAATTACCGTTAGAAAATGAAGAGCACTAGGAGAATCGGAGAGAAATTTGACGGCAAGGGTGATGAGAACAGGTACCGAATCATGGCCAGGAATCATCATGTCGACCATATTGTTAGCAATCAAATTGTGAGTTAAATTTTCATTTGAGTCCTTAAGCAACACATCCACAACATCTTTTGCAACAACAACTTCTTCTTCTTTATTTTTTGCTCTCCTAACTTTGCTCTCTATGATTCTTTCAACTTGCTTAACCATCTTCTTCTTAGCTTGGAGAGATCTGTGAAGTTGGGTTCCAGGGAAGTTAATTGGCAATGACATGAGGCCTTTGATGAATTGTTCAAACTCTTTCTTTAACTCTTCTAAGTCTTCTCCTTTTTCTACACTTATCAATGCTTTTGCAAGTACTTTAAATGCAACCTACCAGTTAAAAATTAAAATTAAACAATTTATTACATTTGACAAAGCAACTAAAAGGGTAAATAATTACTTCATAAACAAAAAAGGAGAAACTTGTAATCATCATATCAAATGTAATTATTACAAACCATGTTCTTTAAAATATATTAATGTTCCATGGTAACACCATTATGATTGTCTCTTTTATTTTCTCAATCAGTGCATGGACATATATACAAGAAAAAAAAATTATGAAGTAAACCATCAACTAATGGAAGAGCATACTTACCGTCTTGGAGACATCTTGAAGGAGAACAGGTTGGTCCTCAGACCAAAGATCCATGGATTCCGACAAAAACTTATGCATGTCTTTAACAACTTGTGCTTTGAGAAGTGGTGACTTTAAGAACGAACCAACTAGTCCATGGAACCTTCGGTGTAAACTCCCGTTTATCAGAAGTATTGAAGATTTTCCCATCAGCTCCCTCACCGTTTTCGGGTAGAAGGGCACGAATGCGGTCGGGTCGCTCTGTAAAACAGTTTTGTTAACTTCTGCGTCCGTCGACACGATCGTAGCCGTTCCAAATATATGCGACTTAAACACTCTCCCATACCTTTTGACATACATAAAACATATTAAATTATAGCTATTGAATAATAACGTCCTGGTATATTAGTTTTTCCATTTTTTCTCAGGATTATAGCTTGGGTTCCGACCCTCAAATTCTAAGTTCCTTTAAATCTATTTGTATATGAGTTTTTATTAAGGACAAATGTCTAACATCGAAAGTTGAACTATTTAACTTATCATCAATTGGTTTTATGTTGAAAGCCCATCTAGTTTAATATGGTATTAGAGCCCACGATCCACAAAGTTTAACCCGATCCTTGTCGATCTAGCGCAAAGTCGACCTATCAATTTTTGCTAGAACATTCTGAGATTAACGCCAAAGAACCATCATCTCGAGGGGGTGTATTAGTGACAAATATCCCACATCGAAAATTGGAAGAAATTCTATCTAGTATTAAATTTAAGTTTTCTTTAAATTTTATAAATATATTGTGAACATTAAAACGTAAAGAGAGGGAGAATAGTTCATACATAAGTCGACGTTTGTCCATGAAACTCTCTGGATGGTCTGAGTAAGCAGAAGAGATGAACTCGATGGTTTCTCCGATGACAGGCCATCCCAAGCTTCCTTGTGGAAAGATTGGTCCGTGGCTGTGAGTGTTAACATGATCAATAAGTTTTGTCTTTGAAGCTGAGGATGATCTAAGACCCTTGATCTTGTTGAAAATGAGGACGATGATGAAAAAGATGAAGAAGGAGAAGAGCAAAAGTGATGAGGAAGTGTCCATTAATGTTTTAACTTAGCCGCACGCACACGAATGGATTTGTGTTTTAAAAAAATTTGTTTTTTCTTTGTTTTTGAGACTTTCTTTCACTTTGAATCTGTCCGGGTGTCTCTTTATAGAACTTTAATCATGGTGCGGTGTGGCAACAAATCATGTGGCTGATAATTTCGTTTATTTTATTTTAGATTTTTTATTTAATTTTAGCGTGATAATGTAAAGTATATCATTGGCAAGATAGTACGTCAGTACAAACTCGATTTTTTATCTTAATTTCGGTAGAATCTAGCCTTTAATCTGCAACTCAACGTACAAAAAAAAGGAACACAGAAACATACATAGAAAGAGTATAGTTAGAAAAGAAGATGTATTAAAGCACGCATGACGCAAAGATAAAATAGAAGATGCAAAGTATATAACAATTTGTATCTTCTTTATGCTATCGTTATATAATTAAAGATTATTGATCTCCAGTTTAATTAAGTTAGGTTTACAAAATTAAAGGCAGGAAATAATATGTGGTTGATCAAAAGAAAAAAAACTATATCTTTTCTACTAAGAACATGAAAAGAAAAGAGAGAGAAAAAAAAAGAAAAGAGATTAAGCTGGCATTTATATATAATAATTTCAGCAAAACAAATAAATAGCAAATATTTTGCAAAAAGTCTAACGATATTTTGGGTTAAATAAGGCTAATTATTCGAAGAAGTAAGGTTGTACAGGGTATATTTATAAAGAGAATATATAAAGAAAATATTGAAGAAAGTGTGATAATTATCTTTAGGCTTGTGGGGTATTTTGGGTGCGCCTTCGTGCAAAACTCCATTAAGCCACGGACCACCTATCTTATTTCACATATATTTACACTTTTCTTTCGTCATGATCGTAGTGGATACATGCATGCATGTTCATATGTATCACGCATGTCCATATGTCTCCATGTATGCGCGAAGATACGTGTAAGAATACATTGATGGTACTATATGTATGTACATACGGTGTGATCTTGTGACCAGAAACTGATTAATTGTGCTATGTTTGGAGATGTACCAAAAACTTAGTGAATTCTATAGAATTAATGAGGCCAGCACCCAATAAAACAGAGTCGATTTTCGGACTGAATATATTAATCTTGGAATACATTCCGTAACAAAACGAAGCTCTACAAGAAAAGCATGATATATTTATCTAAGGCCAGTTCAATCTCCTCATGATTAGACCACATGCGCACCTTCTCATTTTCATACAGTTTGTGCATGTATGGTCGGCCGTATAATATTATTAGATTCTAGGAAGTGAGATTACTTAGCCGCTTGACTACTTTTGATATCGTTGATTATACAAACTTTGAGCCTAAAAAGCAAATCTCTTAATTCTAATTTAACATCTAACCTTTTGACTAACTCCAAACAATAAAATTTTCCATTAGCTTTTTATTCACTTTGTAATAGTTTTCTCATAACTATTACTCCCTCTATTTCATTATAAGTGTCATTTTAGGTTTATGCACACGGATTAAGAAAACAATTAATTTTACATATTTTCCATATAAAAACACAATTACCCATACACCTAACCATATATCAACCAATGGAAAAATAGACTGCAGAATAAAGTTAATAAATTTTGTCTTGAAAACCGAAAACGACACTTATTTTGCAACGAAAAAATTTATCTAGAACGACACTTATTTAGAAACGGAGGGAGTAATTCTTTTGGGAAGCCTACGATTCATTTATGATATCTATAAACGCCATTTTTTAAACAAGCACCTAACACGGGAGCTAACTTATATGCATGATCGTCACTTTATTGTAACATTTTGACAAAGGAAAGATGATATATACAGTGATGATATCTAATTATTGCATGAGTCCCTTTAGTTGAAGGTCGTGCATCTTTGGAAATCCGAGAGGGGTTTTTAATAAGTTACTAGATTTTGACCCGCCCTTAAAGAGGGCGGGACAACCGTTTTTGCTTTAAATTTATGCCCTTGTTTGATTATTCACAAGTATGTATAGACATGAGTATCCGGGGATTGATTGTCGTTAATAATTTTGGTTTGGTCCAACATATATAGATTAAATACGATTACATACAATTTAATGTGTGGTAGAAGATTGTTTTTTCTTATTAGATAACAAATTTTAGAGATTCGATGAAATTATGAGTTCTATTCGATAATCTAAAGTATTTATTTGTAATAGTTTATATTTTGAGTTCAAAATTATTTTTTATAAAAAATAAATAATTTAAGGGTACTATAATAAACAATTTGGTTGATATTATTGTCATATAAAATAAATAGAGATACAACCGACTGTTTATTTTAAAATTATGGTCTTAAAAATTGACATTGTATTATATAGACGGTATGTGTTTAAAAATATGATTAACAAAACAATTATATAAGAAAATAACATAAAAATTCAAAACAGTCGAGTTTGGCACATATGTATGTTTCCAATATATTAGTCTAGATTTTGACCCGCACTTTGATAGTGTAGAATTGTTTTCTGTTGATAATACTATTAACCCGTTTGTTAGTTCATAATAGAAATGAAAAATCTTTTTGCTCAAGCCGTTTGTAACTGGATAAATATTTTTTGACTTGTAGAAAATGAACACATTAAAAAAAATTTAACTTATTCCAGTACATATGACAAATGAATTTTTTCCCGTAAACTATATAACAAATGAAAATTTTGACCCTTATATATATTAAACTTAAGTTATATTCATATTAGTTTACATAATATGACTCATATATATAGTAAAGGAAGTTTAATATATAAATAAATTAATATTGATTAAATACAACTATAGTTAGATATGATAGGCAAAACTATTAATTTGAAATGTATAAACCAAACAATATTTTCTTTCTATTCATTTTAATTTCAAATTAAAAGATAATACTCATTTAGACAAATATGAAAATAATTAAGTTTTGTTATCATTTTGAAATCTCCGCATAATCCAAGTTATATTCATTTTATTAGATTGTATCCTTAATATCACCATTTTTATTCTTATATGATTAACATTTGTTTTCATATTTGTTTGGATGCAAATCTCGTCGTAATGAAGAAGATAAATGAAAAGAGGAGAAATATTTTAAATGATGCTATTACGAAGTATTTTTAATAAGTTATCTAGTTGAAGAGATTATCTCACATATTAATTTATTTGTTACATTCTACAAATGTATACTCTTAAATTCGTTAGTTCTTTATAATAATTTTTTACAAAATATTTTTAAAAGGTTTATAACAATTGAAGTTCTAGGTATTTTATTTTACATATTTATTGTATAAATAAAATGAAAATTCTATTATTATTTTTTTTTATTTTTTTATTTGATGAACTACTATAAGAACTATCTGATAAACCTTTTGATTTATATTCATATAAGTTAAAAATAAAATGACATTCAATACTGAAAATTATCAATATTGACAATTCATAATAACTTTCAATCAAATCCCAAAAGATGTAGTTTAATTTCAAAAATATAATCATGTTTATTCCTCTCATAGACTACATAACTTCTAGTACACGACTTCTACTATAATGTATAAATTTATAACAATAATACAATTGCCTAATAATACCTAGACATATTTTTAAAAAAAATTCAGTTATATATCACATTTAAATCATATTTTTATATCAGTTTGAATTTTATAAGGAAATAGATATCTACACCTCATAATGTCGCATATATTATGAGATAATTAACAATATACACCCTAATACTTTTATAACTAATTTATGATATCCAAAGCCAAAAACTTGTAAATCATAGGATTATATCACAATATAATGATTAACAACTTAAATATGTAACTCTAAATAATATCACACTAAATCAGACATTTATCTAACCAAAACCTAATAGGATTAGAAGCAATCACAACAATCAAAATAATTAAGAGATAAAGAGATTATGGTGTATATTGTTAATTATCTCATATGAAAGCACATGATAATTTTTGGTTATTTTTTTTATTTTAGGAATTACTACAATTTTGTTTTTTTTTTAAATTTTAATATTTGCATTTTGACGTCTAAAATATGTACTTTAAATATTCAATTCTGCATTTATTTTGAAATGATATCTAAAAATAAGTATAAAAAGTATCCAATTCTACATAAATAAGTATTTACTTCTTATCTTATTTTTCTTTTAAATTTTTCATTCAACTTTGGATTATTCAAACCAAAGTAATATAGCCCCAATCCGAACGATATATGATTATTTTATGGATTTAAGATGTGATTCAAATTAGAACCAAAATAGATGTGTTTTTTCCTAACATTATCCATACCCATAATATGAATTTATTTTTATTTGTTACATTTGTCAACATTTATTTTATTATAATATTAATTTAGTATTTATTCCAATCTAAATTAATTATATTGCACTCAACCCGTCTCATACTTGATAATGTTTATATTTTTTTGAAATAAGGTTCAAAAAAACTGAAATTGTAAATCATAATATATATTATAATGAACCATATATTTAATAATATTAATGTCAAATAAATTTATTATTATATGTTATCAAATTCAAATATTTTAAATTATATTTTAATATTCTTTATATGTTATATTAAAATTTAAAAGTATATATTATTCAAATATTTTGCATTATAGATTGAACGATGTAAACTGTATGAATATATGCTACTATGTATATATAATTATGTTAATTTATAATTTATTAAAAAGTTAGTAATTAGATTAAGCTTGTATATATATATTATTTACTGTAATAAATTTATTCTAAAATATGAACTATGTATATATAAATATTATAGAAAGTGTTATTTCTTATTCTACAAACGAAAATGATTTAGTATTCATTTTTAATAATATTTTTTAAAAATTACATTTTTATTATTTAAAATAATATTAAAATCAATTTCTATCTATATTTTAAATTAAAAATGAAAATATTGTTAAAATGCAATATTAGAAAAGATATTTAATAATATGTTAAGATTGTATGTACATATATTGAAATTTTTTTGGATCCGATATCTTTTTAAAATTTTAAA